ATATATATATATATATATATATATATATATATATATATATATATATATATATATATAACTACAGACGGTACCGTTTCGGCCTTATGGGCCTCATCAGTGTAGTGCTGATGACCAGGATGAAAGTAACTGCTATTTACAGTTACCTTTGATGCCTCACGATTGTGGGACATCAAAACCATGCCAGAGCGCTCAAACTGCTTGCAGTGAGCGTGCACAATGCGTAAGATAATAATAGTAATATACTTAAAGTAAATCACACAAAAAAGTTGGGGAGCCCCTGTCCTTTTTTGCAGAACAGAGGCTTCTGTCTGAAAGACGATCGATGTTATTTCTCCCACGCTTGGGTACCAACTCCTATTCAGTCCAGAAAACTGATACACTTGAACGCATAAAATTTGAGTCTACGTTACCCTCCACCAAAATACCAAACCTTTTAATTTGTAATCTCCGCTCCTTGACATCCAAGGTCGACGAACTTGACGCTGTGGTGTCTTTTAACCAAACGGACATGGTCTGCATTACAGAGACTTGGTTATCTCCTGCAATTCCTGACAATTTGGTATCCTTGTCCAATTTCAATCCGTTTAGGAACGATAGACTGGTTTCAAACGGCGGAGGTGTTTGTGCCTACATAAATAGCAATATCTATTGTAGACGAATTGAGGAATTTGAAAACTCTTCGATTGAATCACTGTGGTTATCAGTGGGACCAAAGAAGCTACCCCGCTCTGTCTCGGTTATCTTACTGGCTGTTGTTTACCATTCAACAGCATCCCGCCAAACTGAAAATGAAGAATTGTATTCACACATTCAAACACCAGTCTAAAGTTACATCAGCTCTGGTAGCTACCTTGACTATCTCCGTCAGACCAGCAATTCTTTTAAGATGGTTTGCATCGAGACCCGTGCTTCTAAAATTGAAGTCGCCCGTAATTAGGACCAAAGCTTCAGGGTGGGAATATAAAAATGAGTCCACATTGGTTAACCAACTCAAAGGTGGATAATATTTACGAATCAATCCAACTCACTCCCATTGGAACCAGTGATCATTATACGATTCTTATGAAAGCCCAACCTTCTCCCGCAAAGCCAGACAATTCACATATATGGAAACGCGATCTAAGAGATAGCAGGATACTGCCTTTTGGACGATATATCACTACATTTGACTGGTCTCCCATC